AACCCACATATAAATGTGTACAAATGAGAAAACACCCAAAGCTTATTAATATCTGTAGTTTTCATATGTACATACACATGTTTAGCAAATAGTTTCCCTAGTTCATCATCTGACTTTAAATTTATGAGTTAAATTACCCCAGGAACCCTACTCTGAGGTATATATCCAAGAGAAATGGAAACATACATCATAAAAACTCCTATACAAATACTTGCAGCAGCATTATTCGTAATAGGCAAAAACTGAAAATAACCCAACTGGTAAATGGATAAACAAAATGTGGTCCATACATACAATGGAATACTATTTGCCCATAAAAAGGAATGGAGTGTTCATACATACTTCAGCAAAAGAACATGCTAAATGAAAAGAAGCCAGTCATTAAAGGCCACACACTATATGATTCCATTTAGGTAAAATATCCAGAGGAGACAAATCTACAGAAACAGAAAGTAGACTAGCAGTTGCCTAGGGCTGGGGAAGGAGGGGTCATGGCGAGTGACTGCTAATGGTTTCTTCTGGGGGTGATAAAAATGTTACAAAATTTGTGGTAATAGTTTCACAACTCTATGAATAAACTAAAAGTCACTGACTTACACTCTTTAAATGGGTAAATTTATGTATGTATGTATATGTAGAATGTTGTTATATCTTAATTAAAGCTATTTTTTAAATGCATGTGTTACTATACAGTAATCTATTAAAACTCCGACAAAAAAAAAAAGCAAATTTGTCTCTAGCTCTAATTTTTAGAAGTTTTTAATACTGTGTATTTTTAAAGCTATATTAGGTAACATGCAATGCCGAGGGTAATCATATCTTCATGGAAGACTATATCTGCTATATAATCTCAAATATCCCTCTTTAACTGTTTAATGCACTTTGCCTTAAATTCAATTTCATCTAATTAAATTGCTATGACTTCCTTTTCATTCATGCAGTATATTTTTCTTATTTCTAATATCAAGGTTGCCTTTTTCTTTAGAAGTATCTCTTGAACATATACAGCTTGGTGCTACATTAATTTTTTTCAATCTGAGGTTCTAGGACTGACCAGTGTGGCTCAGTGGATGGGGAGTCATCCTGCAAAGTGAAAGGTCACTGTTTTGATTTGCAGTCCAGCACATGCCTGGGTTGCACCTGGAGCACACACAAGAGGCAACCAATCAATGTTTGTCTCTCTTTCTCCCTTCCTTCCCCATTCTCTAAAAATAAATAAATAAAATCTTTTAAAGAAAAATTTTAGATTCCATCAATAGGGGAATTTTAACCCATTCACTTATACCTATTACTTAAACTTATTCCTGTCATCATATATTTTATTTCCTATACTTGTTTTCTCTGCCTCTGGTTAGAAAAATAAACTTTTTGTTTTTTATTCTCATGACTTATACTGAATATTCTATTTGTGGTTATGATTCACATATTTCAGATTATGTTTTTCTAACAAATTATAGAGATATAGAATCTATATGCAAACCTTTTTCCTGAAAAAAAAAATCCTAACCCTTCAGTACTTCTTTTTCTCCTACCCTCCCATGTTGAGCTGATCTGACCTAGACCGATATTATTTAAAGGTTAACATTACAGATTAAACAAAAACAAACTATGAGCCTCCATATACATTTTACTGTATTTGTGAATCTTGCAGAGCTCTGTGCTGTTGCATTAACTTCAATACTGGTTCCTCACCAGGTGCCTGCCCCTTCTTTTGGGGATCCCCCCAACTTCGTGGTCAAGAGTACTTCCATAAATAACACTTTCAAAAAGGTCTGTAACAATCGGAGAAGGTGAATCACTACAGGCCTGAAAATGTTTTTATTTTCCTCTCACACCAAATTGCTGTTTTGTTGGAATACTGAATCATGGGTTCAACATAATTTTTTCCACACTTCAAAACTACTGCATTTCTATCTTCTATCACTTGTTTTTACCAATAATAGGACTGATGTCACCCTAATCCTTTCTGTTGCAGATAAACTCTGTTTGCTTTGTGGTAGCTTGTAGTCAGTCTGTCTTTATTACTAGAATTCTGAAATTTCATAAGTCGACATTTGAGTGTAGATCTTTTGTTCTTTTATTCAGTGCTCATTAGGCCTTTTCAAAAGACTTGTCTATCTTCAGTTTGGAGAAATTTTCTCCTATTATTTCTGTGATTACAATCCCTCCATTCTCTTTATTTATTTGATCTTTTATCACATGAATGTTAATGCTTTAGAATGTCCCCTATATCTTAAGACATTTTGTTTATGCTTTCCATCTTGTTCAGTATAAGACCACATTCTAAAAAACCTCTTAGCTCAGTCTTCCAATTCATTCATTTGTTTAGTTGTTCCACTCTCTTTATCCTGTTTATGTGGGGTATTTTAATCTGGACAATCATATTTTTAAATCCTGAGATTGGTCCAATTTCACTCAATCCCCTGTTTGTTTTTACAAATACAATTACCTCTCTTGTCCCTCTGTGACTATTAATTTTACTTATTTCAAAGTCTGTTGCCTATTTGTTGTTTCATTGGGTGTTATTTTTTGCTTATTAAGTTCAATGTCTCATTTTCTGTCATTAGTTTTCCTCAGGTGTTTAGTGGTTCTTGGGAACGAGATAGTTTCAGAGATCCTAATCTGCTGTCTGTGTGTGCAGTTTCTGTTTACCATCAGCAGCTCGAAGTGATAACATGGGAAACGTGGAATGTGATGCCAGATGTCAGACAGGTCAGGGGTGTGTCTTGCCAGGATCAGGCTTCTTGGGCTTCCTGACAATCAAAGGCTACGTGAGGCTCTCCCAGCCTCCTTGGCCTCTGTGTTACGCTCAGTACTTTGGCTTGGACTCACAGTGCACCGAGGGAGGGGTTACCACAGGCACACAGTCTATGTGGACACTCCTACCTCATACAACAGGCCCCCTCCTTGCTGCCTGAATGTGATTCTGGTTTGAGAACTCTACAGGTCAATGTATTTTGAGGTGTGGTCCACCAGGCTTTACTTTTCCACAGATGTGATTCCTCACACTTAGTATCTTTCAGGGATTCCTCAATTTTCCATCAACCAGTGGGGGACTTTCTTGTTTTACTAGGCTATCCTCAATTTAGGATACACGTGTGGGTCTGTATAGGAACAGATATATATACGTACATCTTTTCTTACAGGGTTTGGAGTTATGGATATGCCAATGGTGGCAGCGATGCAGTTGCAGAATATCACGAACTCAGCCTACCATCTTGATCCCTTTCTCGGTGTCACTGTTTGCTAACTAGTCTGTACTCCAGTGTTATCATGGCTATTTCTCTAAATCTGATACTTGCATATCCAACTCCTATTTCACATCATTTCTTGGATTTCTTACAGGCATCTCAAATGTAACATGTCCAAAACAGAATCACTGATCTTTTTCTTACCAAATCTGTTCTACTCAGGCATCATCCACATACCAGGAGCCTGGGAGCAAATTCTTAGCAACTGCTTTCCCTCAGTTATTGCCAAGTAAGACCTACAAAATAGATTTCACTTCTTTCCAATTCTACTGCCATTAACTCTGTCCAAACCGCCATCATCTGTCATCGGGGCTATGTATCAGCCTCCAACCTAGTCCTACTGCTTCTCATCTTCCCCTCTCCGTGATGCTCCCGAGAGTAGCAGAGTCAACGCTTAAAAATACAAATCTGATCCTGTCATCTCCCTGCTTAAAAACTCTTCTCTTACTTCTCACTGCTGTTGGAATAAAGTCCAAACTTTGTCATGTTAAACGCTATCTCTGAACCTAAATCTGGAAACTAGATCTTTGCTATTTACTTCAAGACTTCTTTGAAGCCAATAGCTTAATGGCCTGCCTGGGCTCTGTAAATGCGACTTTCCCTTTTTTTTGTTCCACTACCTTGCTGAGGTATTCCATAACTTTCTCTTGAATTAATAAGCATAATTCCTCTTAACTGTAATGCCTAGGTCACAAAACTGCTACTGTTGTATTCTTCAGATTATAGGTATTTGTGTCTACAGCTAGATCAGTCCTTTCAGTAACTATACTTGTCAAATGAACAAGTCCAGTTAAAGCTTTGGATGCCTCTCAGTCCCACTTGCTATGATATGGGAAGACTCCCAGTTAAATCCCAATATGACAGGTTACTACAGGCTTTGCCAGTGTGATCGTGGGTAAAATCCTAACTACTCTAGGATGCTGCTTCTTTTTCTGTCAAGTGAGGGGCTAGAGTTGTTTGATTTTTAAGATCTCTCCCATTTCTAGTGGTCACAGATTCCATGACCTAATGTAATAGTTCTTTAAGAAAGTGCAGTACCTATCATTGAAATTCCACAAAAATTATACAGAGGATAATATTCTATTTCAGGTTTAAGAAGAACTTTCTTCAAAGAGGAAAATAATTCAACTCTAGGTTTCCAGAGACAACTACAGACTCACTCTGCCAAGATTCAGTGCTGTCCTCAACTGCCCGATGACCACAGCCTCAAAAATCGAAAATAAAACAACAAGAAGCAATATTACCATTATCACTACTACCCAGCAGTGACAAATGAAGCTTTCAGTTCACACTGGGTAATGACCAAAAATTAAATATGATAATTAAATAGAAATGGGAAGCAGAGAAAAAAGTCACAGTAGGTACTAAAGGCTTCTTCCTGAAGGATCACTAAAGATCAATAGTTCATCCTGGTTTACACCAAGAGCCAACCTTGACCCATTAACTCCCACCTTGTCCCATCAACTCCTCCAATTTTATCACGTTAAAAGGAGAGGCTCTCCAAATGAAGCTACTAGTCAGATCTAATGTTTTAATAGCCTTTAAATCTGACTAAAGTCAATGCTAAATTTGGATCAGAACCATAAATACCAGAAAAAAAACTCCTCCCTTTCCCATTGACTTCTAGCTCCTATTACCCTCCCACGAGTGTAAAACCTTTGAAAACTGGAACTATTTCCCCTATGCCACCTGAAGTACTGCTCTTTGTATTGATGGATTTCATAAGTCAAATGACCCACACTGCTTTACCTGATACATTCCAACTCCAATGTGTTTTGGCTCGATTTTCACCAGCTCAGCTAATGGATCTTGCACACGCCTTGCTATGGAAACTGAAAAAAGAGAATCAGAAAACAAATACACCTTAATGTAAAAAGAGTATCCAGATAATTACTTACATTAGTTCCTCATTATGCAGATACTTAATTCCACCCTTCTTTATCCCCTCCCAAAAAGACCAACAATTTGAATGTAAAATTTCAGGACTGATTATGCTACCAGAACCCCAAGGCATTCCTGAGCACAAATAGAGTAAAAGAGTATACACCTGAAAAAAATAAACAAAACACTTAGTTGCTACACTTACACAATCACCTGTTCATTCTTCCAATACAAATACAGAATAGTAGAGCACCTCGCACTTTAAAGAACAAGCACAGATGTGTTTTACTTTTAAACAATCCTGCATTACTATACACATGACATGCATTTGTATAGCAAACGTGCTTATTAGAACTAGATCCTGATCATGATGAACAAATGATAAAATCACATCTCACTGCAACCAGAGACCAAGTCAGCTGGCCAGTGAACGTACTTGGATTGCCCTGAACAGAACTGTAAGACTACCCTGTAAAGCGATCTGAGTCACAACAGCTTATCCGCAAACACACACACACACACACACTCTCTCTCTCTCTCTCTCTCTCTCTCCCCAATTCATACCTCTTTCCTGACCATCACAATTCCTGTTCAAGAAACTTGAAAGTTAACTTCAAACATTCCATTACCTGTGTCATTTTACTTGGTCTTCATTTATTGCCATTTTTCTTACCACTTGGTAGGAACATTTCATAACAAATTTATCTTTTAAGAGATTTAGTAGAGAAAAGAAATGTAATACGAATCTTAAGGATACTTGTAAAGGCGGATTTTCTCCCCCAAGTAACATGGTTATATTGAGACTTACATATGAAAAGCCCTTATTTTCTAAACACACGAAAACTAACCAGTGTCAACTACTCATAAAATGTTGGATGAAATGTAAATTCATTAAGTGAAACACTGAGACCATCAAAGGAAACCCCAGGCCTGGTTTCATGTTCAACTGGTCCAGGTCCGGCAACAGAAGCCACCTCTTCCCAGGGATTACGAGACTCTGCCACCACCGATTTCCACTCCACCTCCTCAGAGATAAGATCTGCTGTGAACCTCAAGTTCCCTGCACAGTCATTCAAGTCTTTTTCATATCTTTTACTGATACTTCTAGCATGCTGTGACAGCGGCAGCTTACAAAGCAAGCTTAGGGAGCAATAATCTGTTGTCATACAATCTATTTCTCCCACAGAAAAGACTGGGATTCCAAGGCCAGTACATATACTTTTCTTATCCAGCCTCGCAAAGGGTTAAGCTATGAAGGTTAAAAAAAATAGATTATTCTATAAGCACATTTATAATTACACGTTGAAAAGAAATGCCACCAGAAACACGGGACATTCTCTAAAAGCAAATGTTATTTCTTTATTCTAGCCTTTATCTATATACAATGCAGTAAGAATCACTGAATTCAAACATATATATTACCAAAATACATCACTGATTTAAAAACAATAGCAACAATCCATACGGTAAACCAAGTTAAGAATACAGGCACCAGAACATTCACTGTGTAGGAAGTATCGGAAATTCAATAAAAGGATATCAGTAGTAGGTAAATCTCTGAAATCAACCCTTTCAGGAAAACCCACATCGTGAAAACCTAACTTAGAAAATGGGTAGAACAATTGCATAATTTGAAAGACGTGGGTAGATTCCCATATTTTAAAATTTCTAAAATACAAAGGGATTTTCAACTATTTTCTACCTGGTTCCCTTCAAACTGATTCATTGCCAGTGTCTCCCTCATTCACCCTAATATTGCTAAATGCAGCAACAGTGGATTGGAAATAATGGTTTCCAGGTGATATGAATTCTAGAGTAAGTCCTGAGAGCCTCTGGAGTTACAATATCCCCAACCTCAACATCAATCCTAGTATTTCTAGAACTGGTATTTCCCTTTCAGATTCTGTTCCCTCCACATGGCCTAAAACCCAAGCTTGGAAGAGATGGGACAGAGGGAGATAAGCATTGTCTAAAAGCAAAATCCAAAAAGTAGCGTGCCCAGGCTTTGGAGAGAATATGGCGCTGTTTTCCTGCTGTGGAATAACCAAGAAAAGAGTTATGTAATAGACCATAATCACGCATACCCACAGGTTGAGAATGATCAGGCTAATGGCAGATTCCTCAAAGTAAGAGACAAGTAGTTCAGGCAGAAGGACTTTAATAGATTTGTGATAAAGAAAATAAAGAGAGCCCCAGCTGGTGTAGCTCAGTGGATTGAGCACGGACCTGTGAACCAAAGGATCAAGGTCCGATTCCCAGTCGGGGCACATGCCTGAGTTGCAGGCCAGTTCCCAGCAGGGGATGCACGAGATGCAACCATACATTGATATTTCTCTCCTTCTCTTCCCATTTAAAAATAAGTAAATATAACGTTTTTTTTTAAAAGAAAGAAAATAAAGAGAGAGGAAGAGTTATTACCCAAAACTCGGGGGCCTATTCACATTTTGTGATAGAAAAGAGAAGAAGAAAATATTAAAAGAGGCAGAAATGAATGGTAGGGAAAGAAAACATAGTAACAGAAGTTAAAAACACTTCTGGAAAATGTTAAACACAGAATTACCACATGTCCCCAAATTTTTACTCTTAGGTATATACTCAAGAGAAATGAAAACATGTCCACCTAAAATCTTGTATATATATGCTTATAGTGGCATTACCCATACTAGTCAAAAATGAAAACAACCCAAATATCCATCAACTGATAAATGCATGAACAAAAAGTGGTACACCTAGTACAATGGAAAGTTACTTGGCAATAAAGAAAGGAATGAAGTGTTGATGCACGCTGCAGCCTAAGTGAGCCCTGGAAACCTTATGCAACTGAAAGACCACATATTGTAATGATTCCACTTATACGAAATGCCTGGAATAGGCAGATTCATGTAGAAAGAAAGTAGCTTAGTGTTTGCCTACTAAGTGTTAGGGGATGGAGAGAGGAGGAATGGGGGACTGGTGAATAATGAATACGGGGTTTTCATGTGGGGCGATGAAATGTTCTAAAACTGGATAGTGGTGATGGTTGCACAAGTCTGAATATACCAAAAATACAAGGACATACACTTTAAGGGGTAAATTGTATTCTATGTAAATTACATCTCAGTGAAGCTGTTACACAATTTTTAAATGCAATTATGTCCAGATGTATGGCAAATACCATTTTGCCCACATATAACACCAATATTTCTCCCATTACTGCTACTATTCCCCACTGTTCAGGAAATTCTAGTCAATGCGACTGGACGAGAAAAGAAAAAAAGCATAATTACTGAAAAGACAGAAACTAGATTATTATTTGCAGGTGATGGCTGTCCACCTAGAAAACCCAAGCAAGTCAATTGAAAACAGTATCAGAACTGAAAAGATTTCAATCAGTCGGCTGGTTTCAAGACACCCAGGTAAAAACTGACGCTCCCACCATATGTCTTCAACAGTCAACAAAAAAGTATCACGGAGGAGAATCTATACACTGTGTGTGTATTGTCTGTGAATAAGAAAATTAAAGTGTGCAGAACCTGAATGAAGGTATAAACTTAACAAAATGTTCATGTGTTTCTATAGGGTTGTAAAAATATGAATTAAATTGCTCAAGTTTTATGTGGAAAAAAAGAAATGCCAGGCAAAGCACAATTTAAAAAATTACAGCCAGTCATCTTATAAGCCACAGTACTTGGGAGTCTGCATTGTGGCGGACTACACAGACCAATGGAAAGACACACAGAATACAAAGAAGAGTTTAGTTTCTAATAAATGCCAATTTTTTGAACAGTAATGAAACTCAATGAAAGACAGTTAGTAAGTGATATTGAAACAAAAAAAGTTACGTATTAGAGGAAAAAATTACGTTACAGACACCAAAAGCAGGGGAGCGCACCCCAACTGAGCGGGAGGTAAGCAACCCGAGCGACCTCCCACGGTTAGGCAGGTTGCACAGCGCACAGACACCTGTAGCCGCCCCCGGAGAGCAACACTCCCTCCAAGCACCAACTCTCCCTTCCCGCCTCCAGAATATTCTGGCATCTGTCCTCAATAGTGTAGGCTTTCCTTACACGAGAGGTGACCTCTGACTGTGCTCCAGGGGCACAGTACTAGAAAGCTGACTCCAAGTGTTTTACTCAAAGGTGAGGTTTGCCAACTGTGGGTTCCACTGTAGAGTCGCCCGGCCATTTCTTTGTGTGTATCAGATCAGTTTCTTCAGGTGTCTTCTCTTGTGCTGGTTGGAAGCCCCTACCTCCTGTGGGACAGATCTGGCTCTCTCTAAGGTCTGTATGACAGCGTGTGAGTAATTATTCAATCCCTCTTAGTTTTCCGTAGGTATCCCCACTCTCATTTATAAGCTATGTCCTCCAGTGTACAGACGTGCATAACCCTCTGCAAAGAATAAATGTCTAGTCTTTGTCAAAGGCGAAGGAAGGACAGTTACTCAAAATGTGTGGGAAGGGAGGTCTGTTTTGTTCTATTGATGTGAAATTCACGTAACATAAGATTAATCATTTTAAGGTGTTAATTCAGTTACATATACTTAAACAGTGTGCAAACCACCACCTCTATCACATTCCAAACCATTTTATCAAAGAAAACACTGTACCCATTAAAAGAAGTCGCCCTTCATTCTCCCATCTCCTCAGTCCCTGCCTTTCTGTCTCTATAGAATTGCCCATTCTGGACATTTCATAGAAATGGAATCGTACAGTATATGAACTTTTTAGCTTTTTTCACTTAATATGTTTTCAAAGTTTATCCATGTTGTAGCAATAGCAGTACTTCATTCTTTTTTTACAGCTGAAAGTAATATTCCATCATATGAAGATATCGCATTTTGTTTACCCATTCATTTGCTATGGACGTTTGGGTTGTTTCCAGCTTTTGGCTGTTGTACACAGGTGCTCACAGCAGCACTAGTCACAGGTATTTGCTGAGTACCTGCTTTCAATTCTTTTGAGTATGTACCTAGTAATGGAATTGCTGGGTTGTATGGTATTCCATGTTTAACTTGGTATAGTTACTTTTGAACAGACTTTCAATCAATCCTCTTATCTTAGGCCCCTCTGCCCTCCCAAGATACTTCTAAAGGTGGTTGGTACATTTTCTAAACTTACGGGGTTCCCGTGATCTCTTTCAGGTTAGTTCTGTTTTCTAAACAATGCTACCCTAGCACTGAACTTTCTCAAGTTGGCTAGATTACTTATTCTTAGCCATCTGCTTTCCCACTTCAAAATGAATGTTGCCATTATCTCCTCTCCCATTCTCTTTGTCCCAGTGAGTTGAAGTCTTCATTTATCAAGTTACTGTGATTTTAATGAGATTTTAGAAGGGAGTGATGAAATAACAGGAATACTCAATCTTCCATTTTCAATCAGAAAAACATAATAAATATTTTAATGCAATCTATCTACTATTCTATTCATCCATTTAAATGCCTCTCATGTGCATGGTGTTTATTACAGGGGAGTATAAGCATATAAAGGATAACCCCTGTTTTCAGTAAGCTGATAAACTGGTAAAAAAGATGTAGTAATACCAGAAAGGTCATTTGCTTACACATGTTTTACACTTGTATGAAGGTTGAGGTTCTGTTATATTCCGATATGGTAAAGTTATGAAGAGTTGAAAGGTAAAACCGACACTCACAGGTAGGTCAGGTCTCCAATGAAGGATAAAGTCATCCCTGGCATTAATCACTACGAAAGAGACAGACTCACTCAGAAAACAGGAGCTGAAAAGGAAGTGGGCCCTAGAAAACCAAGAATGAAGGCTCTCTGCTTCTTTCAATATTTGCTTCCACGACCAGACTTGGAGACTAACAATGTCTAGGTAGATGCTGGGAGTTGATACGGATCAAACACAGGCATCGCCATGCGGACAGAAGCTGAGACAGAGAAGGAAGGCACACCTGCAGTGTATCACAAACTGAAGGCGCAGCTGGATGATTACATCAGAGTAACTAGGACCAGACACCAATTCTCCTTTTTATTATTTCCTATTTTTATAGAGTCCTGATGGAATGTAGCGACCTCGCCCCACCTACAATATCATGATAGTTATGTAACCCACACGGGCCGGCGGTGAAGGGGAAACAGCAGCCCCCTTAGCCCTGGGAGGTCTGAGGGATGGCCACCTCCTAGGCAATATTTTTTCCCGATGCCCTGTTGGAAGATCACCTTTCAGTGCCAACTTGGGGAGGAGAGGTTCTGAGCCTTACTTTTTATAAAGAAAAGCATCCTTTTATATAAAAGTATACAAATATTATGTACATACTTATTGGCTTTATGGCCTCTTTAAGCCCTTTAAGCCTTGGTTTCCTTATCCATAAAACAGGAATAATAAATGTCTCATAGGGCAATTGCGAGGATTAAATAAAATAATTCTGGTAATGCATTTACCACAATGTTTCATATATATTAAAGGTTTTGAAAAGGTTAGTACTGCCCTGGACGGGTGGCTCTTGGTTGGCTGGAGCATCGTCCCGTTCACCAAAAGTTTGCACGGGTTTGATCCCTGGTTGGGGTGCATATAAGAGGCAACCGAGTGGTGTTTCTCTTTCACAGAGATGTTTTTCTTTCTCTCTCTCCCTTCCTCCCTTCCTCCAATAGAACAAAATCAGTACACATATATCCTCAGATCAGGGTTAATGAAAAAAAAGTCTATGAAAAAACCCAGAAAAATAAAAAGATGAGTATTAGCAGCTCCTACTATGATTACTATACCTAATCCTCTTTATTATTACTATTACAAGTAGCAAAATAGTAATGTGGCAAGGAGGCAGAGACCACACTGAGCTGATGAGGTAGGGAAACGCTTCATAGAGGAAGCAAGATCCTGAGCTGGGATGTGAGTTTGAGAAGATGATCATTTTACATAGGGGCTGTGCCATGGAATGAACTGAGGGGGAACTATAAGCTCTTCTGAATATAAGAAAGAAAATGCTAGCTTTGAATTAATGCAAAAAATTCCAAGTGTGCATTTCCAGGTATAGAGTTCAAAATGAGCCAGTGAAATTTGATGAGAATATTCAAGGGAAAAAATTAAAATAAAAAGTACATTTCTACCAAAGTAGTCTAAATATTCCCATTACCCAGAAAAATGCTCTGGTCAGACCTGGTATTTTGCTTGTAATACCAATTATATTCACTAGATGTACTGAAGTATCTTAATTCCTTCACACACAGTATTTTAACTATTCTACATCACAGAAATCAAAGCAAGACCAGAGAAACTGGTCATTTGACAAATATTAAGCAATAAACTGAAAGCCTGTGAATGATCACACATTTGATTATGAATATTGTTATATTATTACTTTTTTCAACAAAAAGCCTTATTAAGTAATATTTTGTTGTAACAAGAAGAGAGCTTAGAGTATTTTATTATTTGCATGAACTCTCTAGCATTTAATGTTACCAGAGATGTTCTGAGCTGATTTTTCACCACACTCTGGAACACTATGCAGTGTTCTTTAGAAACAGCACTCTCCCTCATTTTCCACAATTACAGTTATCACTCCAACCAGCCACTTTCTAACGTGCCTGCCTATTCATATGTATTCTTCTATGTATCAAGTATATTCTAAAATTTCTCAGATAGTTAAGTACTTTTCTTGCTACAAATACAAGTCCAGGAATGCCAGAATCGCACACTTTGGTGAAGGTGCACGGCTTCTTACCGGCACTTCTCAAGTTGGGGTCCAGTCCTGGCATCTCTTTGTTAGCTTCAGGGCTGACACTGTAGATGGATGCTCCTGCTTCACTCACGATGCTAAGAAAAAAGAAAAGGGGAATATCGTTTTCTGAACTTTCATCTAGTCAAAGAAAATAAACAAATAAGACTGAAAAAAATAACTTGCAAGGCAAGGTGCTTTCTTTCTAGTTCAATGATACCTACAGCATTTAATTTTTCATTAACATAGTGATTAAGCATGTCTGTTTTCTTCACATAGGAAATACACAAATTTAAGCCCATAATGAAGTAATTCAGTCATTTTCTGTCAGTAGTAATGAGATAGGTTACAGATGAATACAATAGATACCGCCCCTTGATGCCAGCTACAAAATTTTCAGAATATACTTAGCTTCTCTCGTGTTTATAACCCACTACTGGCTGGCATTTATAACTCCCACCCGAACTAGTCACTCTAAAGCATGTTGCACAGCACATGAGCATGTGTGGATATGTGCAGATGTGAATGTATGGAAAAAAACCACTGCTGTAAACATCGCCATTGTTATGACCTGATTATAATCAACCCTGACAGTGTGAGAAGCAAAGGAATCAGACAGATAGTACCTGACTTCTTTTCAGAAGGGTCTGAAATCATCTTTTTAAGCAAACTGGGGACATTTCACTTCATGCAGATGTTAAACCATGCCACTTTATCATGTATTTAATCAAAGCACCACCTGTATATTATCCTTTCTTTTTTGGCTCCAAATACTGTTCAGACCACGGTGGGAAAACTGCCTCAGAGGTGACATTTGGATGGTTGACATTTGTACAGTTTATCAAATAGTTTAAAAATCAGAGGTCTCCTTCAGGACACCATATGCAAACAAACATCATCTACCCTAAGTATTCGAGATACCTGTGGCTCCCTACCACATGACCATCTAGGTCTGAAGATTCAAAAGCAGAAACATGTTAATGCTGACTTTTAATTCACTCTTAGAACCCTCTCTCCCTTTCTCTGCTCCTCAATATAAACCTCAAACATGAAAGAAGTTTAGTGGATAACCTTTAATGCATTGCTCTATTGTAATAATTCAACACTGATAAGTAAAGTGTGAAAAAGTGAAGTTTGCTAGCCCCTGCCTTTCAGGAACTCGTGACTGAACTCTGACAACAACTGTAAGGCACTGAGATTTGAGAAAATTATTTTGGGGAAGAAGAAGACTTATTAACTAATTTATTTTTTTTTTGCAAACAGGATCTACTATCCTAATTTGTTTTTAGATTTTATTTATTTTTTTAAAGAGAGGGGGAGGCAGGAAGAAAGAGAGGGAGAAAAACACCGATGTGCCAGAGAAACACCGGTTGGTTGCCCCACACACACCCCGTAGTGGAGACCTGGCCTGCAACCCAGGCACGTGCCCTGACTGGAATCGCACTGGCAATCCTTTGGTTCGCAGGCTAACACTCAACCCGCTGAGCCACACCAGCCAGGGCTACTATCCTAAATTTAATAATAGGAAAAATGAACACTCGGTAATTGAAAAGCAAGGGGACTCATCTCGTCCCTTATCAACACCAATGTCATCATACAGAAGAGTTAACCAAATAGATATTATACACAAAGCACAAAACATAGCACTTCACAGACATTATCTAATCTGATCCTTTGGGGTATTTTTTTTTACAGATAAGTAGTGTGCCAAACATCACGCAGCCCGTGGGCAACTGAGCTAAATGAGAAGCCTAACCTGCTTGATTCTCAAGGCTGAGATACTAAGCGGCACAAGGAACTTCTGACTAGTTTCACCACTTATTAAAACCCACATTTCTGTGCTACATGACAAATGTAACATCGTCTTAAGAGGAACTACTTTCTTAAAGAACAGATCCATAAGAACTCATTTCTCTTTCGTCACCTTCACTTTTGATGAAAAGTTAAAGTGAGTTTTGTTTTTTTATATATCTAAAGTGGAACCTAAATCATAAAGAAATTCGAATATGTGCCACAATTTCAGAGACTAACTTTAAGATTAAAAGTTATTTGTCTCCAAAATAAGATTTAGATTATACTTATCTTCTACTATATAGTGATCAAGGAAAAAATACAATGTCAAATAAAGATTAAAGACGAATCCCAGTGTGGCACACATAATACGATGTTCAAACCAGCACCACTAGCAGTGATTCTTCAGACCCATGACAACAGCACTGTCTAACCTGGGGCGCCTGCACTTCCGACAGAAAGAGGCAGGAATAATCAAAACTGTATACAAAATGTTTGTGCTGATGCATTTTTTTCTAGGAAGGGGGGTTATAGTTTTCACTGATTACTTAAAGAAATCTATTACCCCCAAAAAGCTTAAGAAACACCACCGTAGGGTAAAAATATTCAATCATCAGCCATAGAAAATTTGTTGTCAAACACAAAACAACAATCGCTAACAAAGTTTTTTCTTAAAAAGCAAAATAACCGTCAAGGGCAAGTGAGACCTATTATTGAGAAAAGAATATTTTTTTAAAAATTTCACTAGAAATTTATTTTCTATCATTGCCAGGAGCCTCCAAAATTACCACTATTCAAGCAGGGAACACAAATAGAAAATAAAAATTCCAATTAACTGTGGCCTTTCGCATTTGGGTACCTGAGAATTTGCTGGGTGATTCACTGTCTCTTGGAAGTTATAATTCTCAGTAGACTAAGGGAAACTGTTACAAAGAAAAACACTCAGATAATAAATATCCTTGCAAATACCACACTGCCAGTTCTCTTAGACAGAGGAATACAAAACAGATGTGACTCACTGCACCCAAGATTTTCAGATTAACATTAATATTAAGTCAACACAAAATGTAGTACATTTCATATGCTTTGCTTATTGGCTAGGATGGATCGAATAAACAGTTCAGTACCAAGCACAGACCAGAATGCTTCCACAGTCTAAGTGAACAGAAACCCCCAACACTGATCACTTCAATGTAACACGTACATGGATCTAAGAAGGAGCTGTGGCAAGAATTATATGAATCGAGTCATGCTGGGAGTGGCAAGGATTTTTCTCCAGAAGAAGCTGCTGTGAACAAGTTAAAATGTGTCCTCTCTTCCTTTTTACATTCCTACGTGCAGGTCAAAGACAGACATTCAGTAGAAAGTATGCTAGATTTTATAAGCCAGTTTCTGTTTATTGCAAAACTATTTAAAAATCATTCCAATGATCTCTACTATATTTGGAAGAAAGCAAAAGTAAACTTTGCAAAATATTCAGATATCTAGTGATTTAGTAAGTTTTATATTTCACAAAACAAATTTCTCTCAGGTGTAAACAAATTAGGCTCATTATCTCAGTAATTTGATTATTTTATTTATTTTTCCCATAAAGCAGACAGGACTCTGAGCAGAATTCTTTATTTGGAGGGAATTTAACCGATGTAGTCGGTAACAGAACTAAGGTTTTGAGACTATTACAGGGCTCTGAAGCTGCTTCCTACTGCTAGTTCAACAAACACGGTAGGCACACATGGTATCTCTGACTTTAAATACACAAATACAGTTCAGAAGTGATCACTGGGCTTACTCTTTGCCAGACCTATGTGTTATTGTGCTATTTCTCTAGGATGCATTGTCCTTTATTTAAAAAACATTTAATCTAATTCAGCTCTATTCCAAGTCTTTCTAGGTCTTTTTATTAAGAAAAAAACAAACAAACAAAAAAAACAAACAAACAAACCACACACTTACAATATGAAAAGCAAGTAAAATGCCCAAAATATAGATGCACTTACTTTTCTTCTTTTTTTTTTCTTGGACTGTTTTCTAATATTTTCTTTAGTACTTTGCCTCTATTTTTAATAACTAAGATTGGTATATTTTTTCTCTTACTCTCCTGTTGTTGGCTACAAAACCTGTCTACTGTAAATGAACACTGGCTTGTAAATGACTAGGGGAATATTTCCACCCTGTTTTCTTTGGGAGAGTCTTTATAAGGCTGATGTAACCCGTTCCTTGAAATTATATAAAACTTATCTGTGTAACTATCTCAGCCTGGTGCGAGGAAACTTTAGACCACTGATAAAATTTGTAAAGTAGTGAGAATGAAAGTTTTATTTTCCAGATCATTTAAAAATTATATATGTGAATAAAATTATATATGATGTATGTTTTTCCCATTTATGTATTTTTAATTGACTGCCATAAAGTTATTTATGGTATCCTCTTATTTGCTTTTTAACCTCTGTTGACTCTATAATTAAGCTTCATTTCTCATACTTTGAGTATTTAAAAATTTTTAAATAAAAACTATGAGTTAAAAATACTAACTTCTGGTATCTTAAGTAGAATTCAATGATATTACATAAGTATTACATAAATCAGTTAATTTGTTAATGTACTTACTTTTTCTAAGAAGACATACACTTAGCCCTGGCCCGGTTGCTCCGCTGGGTGGAGCATAACTCCGTACACCAAAGGCTGCAGGTTTGGTTCCCTGTCTGGGTACATGCCTAGGGTGCAGGATGGATCCCCAGTTGGGGCTTCGTGTGGGAGGCAACCTACCTATCACATCAATGTCTCTCTCTCTCTCTCCCCCGCCATTTCCTCTCTGTCTAAAATCAATAAACATATCCTGGCATAAGGACTCATAAAAAATTTAAACCATACATTTGAACTACAGAATTAGTATCTCCACAGTTTATAAATTTCTTCTAACAAGACAGACTGTATGTTGATGAATCTTTTAAAATCGTCTGCAAGTAGTTTTCTTACAATAACTATTCATTCCGACAGTAAGAGAATGGTGACTTCTTTTACCAAACTGAGATGAGAGAAATTCCTTTCATGAGACAGGAAAACTAGCTGTTTAAGTTATTGGGCTAATCGGTTTCACACTCATTTACAAGTTCCCGTGAAGCCTCTATGTGGGTCCCCTTGAGGTCCTCTCCCCACTCCCCAAGTAGGAAAAGAGGGCTTTTTTCTTGTTTTTAAATAAATGATATGCTTCCTTACATTAACGAGAGAATATAATTTAAAGGTAATCCATTTAATAAAAGTATTTTAGTAAGATATCAAAGATCAGACAGGATTTATTGCTTAAACT